ATTGGAAGCAATATATTTATTTACATTGTTACCATCATTATTTTAATAATTATTTACAAAAAATGATCAATAGTCAATTTTTAAAAAAACAGTTTTTTTTTCCAATAAGTAACAAGGGAAAAAACAAAATTAGTGAAAAATTGTTTATGATGCCAGAATATCATTGATTTTACAAGTAAATAAATGAATTAATATTAGTGAGTATATGACACAAAATACCTTCAGTAGAGATACCTATCTCTATTATGTGGTATGTCCTTTCATAATGATGGCGATCATTGTTCTCTATAACTTTCTGTCCTTTGTAGCTTTTAATAAATTTTGTCTCCTTGTTATCTCTCCTAAACCTTGTCCACTGTCCATTTATTAAAGCTTGTTTGGTTGGTTAAGCGTTGTTTTCCTCTGTCACCTCTTGACTTCAATCTGTCCCATGAGTATCAAATTCCAAGCCTCTTTCCTCATTATGTGCTCTTGAAATTTAAACTATCTCATTTTGATGTTAAGTATGAATGTCCTTTTTCTTTTGATTTTCTCTAAAACTTTTTTGTAGCTTATATGTTTGGTCCATGGTAATCTCAGCATTCTTTTATAAAAAAACCAACCACATTTCTGTTTCTTCAAGTCTCTTCTTCATCTGCAAGTAAATTGTCCAACATTCACTACCATATTCACTGATATTATATAACAATTCAGTACACTTTCTTTTGTTTCTAGTGGAATTTTCCTGTTAGTTAATTATTTGCTTAGTTCTTGGACAGCATCTTTCACTATCCCAATGTGCCTTTAGATTTCAGTGCTTTGTTAAAAAATTTCCCAGCTATTTAAGTTGTTGCATTTCTTTGATTTTGTTATCTCCATTTTGCAATTTGCCTGTTGGGCTGTTCCCTTTACTAACAACCTTGCATTCTACCTTCTTGCAATTGACATTTAGTCCTTTCTTCTCACTTTCCTTCACTACTTTCTGTAAGAGTTCTTGTTTACTTTCTATGTCTGCTATCAACACTGCGTATATCTGCATATCCCCTGTTGTTAAGATTTTGGCCACCAATAATGAATCCTGGTAGGACTTCTAATTCTCTTAGAATTGATTTACTTGAATATATGTCATCCAAATGTAGATTGAATATCAGGCCAGTAATTTCAGATGATCATGATTTTACTTTCAATTGCTTATTTGAAATGTTTCCTTTCTTATAAAAAGACCAAGAAACACTAACATAGTACTAGAAAAATGAAGTTTTTTTTTAACTATAAGTATAGCAACTGAAGATGAAATTTATTGTACATCCGTACCAAAGATTATTATAGAGACAAACTGAAATATTTTTAAAAAAGAAAGAATATCCTTGATTCCTCCCGCAAAATTCATTTATTAAAATTTTTATTTTTTTAAATACCATGGCTCTACAAAGTGTAGGTGATCAAAGGCTTCCACAGTTCAAGTTTTTAAATTATTATCTATGGCTTGTGAAAACAAATTGATAAAGACATAAATTGGTCTCCTGTGACCATCTTCACAATGTAGAATATAGAATTCAGAGTTTTATTTAAATAAGACTGGTTGCCACAGGCTTTTTATAGAAAAGTTTACATTGCTATTTAACTAATAGCTTATAAGAGAAGGAGAAAAGATGGATATGTGCCTTTTCCAAGGGCATTTGTATGAAAGTGAATGCAACAGACTAGCCTAGAATTTTAACACAGCTTGTCAATTCCACTGTCTATACCCATGGCTATTACACTTACATTCAGGTAAAAATTCTTAAAAATAAAATGTGATGGAGAGATTTGATTTCAGAAAGAAAGGAAAATTATGAACATGTCTAAGAGAGAAAGAGAAAGAAGGAATGTACAAAAGTGATAGAGAAACAGATGTATAGAGAAGTCAAGAAAGTGACTGAAAACAGAGATTTTTACACACAATGAAAGAGAGAGAGGATGAAACAAGGAGACAGAGAAAGAAAAGTTAAGGAAAATTACTGAAAGGAAAGAAGCTCAAAGACCTTAAAAGATAGAAAAGAGAGAAAAACTGAAAAGGAAAAGCAAATCAAAGGGAGATCAAATTCATTTATAGTTGTCTTTCTTTCTTTCTTTCTTGCTCTCTCTTTATACACACACATACACACACACACACATATATATATGATAAAAATATTAAAAAAAAACATTTTTACAGTGATATCACTAAGAGATAATTTTCCATTTACAATTAAATATCTACATCATCTTAAAACGTTAAATTTATAAATAGCTTTGATATAAATTTAAAGAACTTAAGACATTTCATTTTTATCTTTTGTAGAATGTGATCAAATAAAAATATGCATTAAATGCAATATATCTATTGAATTATTTCATCTATGAAATATATTTTTCCTATTTTCATAAACTATTTTTCAGTTATTCTTAATTGCAGTTATATATAATAAACTTTTCTACACACCTACACCTCTGGTACTAGAAGGAACCATATATATATATATATATATATATATATATCCCGGGTGTAACAGCAAAATTGTTCAAATTGTGTAAAGCATGGGATAATTGTCCATCCCACAAAATGTTTAATAGCTAAAACAAAAAAAAACACTAAACTAAATGAGATTCTTTTTTCCAGGTTTTCAGATAAGACGTTTAGCCATCTTGACATGATTTGCCATAAGAGTCCCTGAAAAACCCTTCGAGTCATTCAGCTAGAAAAAAAACAGGTTAAAATAGTTTTGTGTCAGCCTCACTATGTCTTCCCCACTAAGCAATGGTGAGAGGAAAAAGATCATTCAGGCCTCAGTAATGGTACTAACATTCCTACTCTGTCTTCCATCTTTAAAGTCTATTCAAGAACCATCAAGAGAATGATGATTAAGTTTAAAAAAGGAGGGAACAGTAGAGCGGAAAACTGGATCAGGAGGTCACAACAGCAAGAGGTGGATCATCTTTTAAACTTTGAGCTAAATATATTCTTATTGTTCAAAGTAGAGTCCAATAGTAGTATAAAAACCTCGGAGAATTCCAGTAAGATATCTTTATTCATTTCTAAGATACACAGTTCAAATCTTAATCTAAAAATTGGACAATTTTGCCGTTACACCCAATATATATATATATATATATATATATATATATATATGTGTGTATGTATGTAAAGAAAGAGAGAGGTGAAGGACTGCGTGACTGGAGGATAAATAGCCTTTTTGTCGTGTATAAAGTGATTGATATGTGGCAGAGGAAAGCAAATGAAAAGATAAGCACTTAAGCATTACGTATTTATGGTGAATGATAGAATAATTCTCTATTTATTAAAAGTAGTCAAGAGCATTTATCTACAAAAACAACTAACTTCCAGCATTTTAGGTTAATCTTTCAATCTTTTCATATTTACTATATCTGTCCAATATTCACTGCACCTTTTAATGTGTAAATATGTGTTGTTTCCTTTAGATATATATATATATATATATATATATATATATATATAATATATAAATCATTCCATATTGTCTTATATATTTTTATATATATATATATATTCAGCATGTGTTGGGTAAATTGTCACCACTTTATATTTTTCATTTCACATATGCAAGTTGTTTGATTTTGATTTTGCCAACTGCACAGCATAGTAGGATAAGTTGGTCACTGTTTGCAAAAATAAAAGATCCTTAGCACAATTCATTCTGACAAACATTTGGAAACTCCATGATGTACTGCTCGGCATTTGCACCAGAAACTCCGCTATGAAAATTTCAGAGTGTTTGGGTGTCAATCTGAGGACAGTGAAGCGGATTCAGAAAGTGTAGTATGAGTCTAATGGTGATTACAAAGGTGTGACAACTTGGAAAACTCACTCTGATCATTCTGATAAGAAAAGAACTCCTGAATTTTTTGGTGAGGGCCACAGACTCAACACAGGGGCCTACAACAAGTGCCTTGAGGGCGTAGTGCTACCCTGGGTCAAGAGGGTGGCTGCTGGAACTACATGTCTGGTAACAGGACTCTGCACCATGTCACACAAGCAGGAGAACCCAAACATGGCTGTCAGACAACATCACACCTAACTTCCCAGACTTCAACCCACTTGATTATTATTATGTGTAGGGTGCAGTTGAGCAAGAGACCAACAAAACTCCTTGTAACACCAAAGATGAACTGAAGGCAAGGATTATGGCAGCATTCACCAACTTAAACAAGGAAGAGATACAGGAGATTCCAAAGTTGTCTGGAGGTTGCGGTTGAAGCCAATGGCGATTTTATTGAATAAATTTACTCATTAGTATTTCAAGATATTTTAGTGTAATTTTGGTAAATATATCTGTTAAAATGAGATGTCAGTGTTATTTTCATTTTTGTGTAATTTAGATGACAATTTATCCATCGCACCCTGTATATATAATGTATGCCTATGCAACGAGGTTATCTATTTAATATTCTTTTTGATTATTATGGTCTGCTTTTTCCTTGCCTATCTCTTTATCTTTTAGAATCTTTCATCATATTTGATTTGGAAAGATCTCAAACACAAGCCACTGCTATTGAATCTAATCCGCTTTAAAATGAGATCTGAAATTTGATATCATAATATACTTATCATTAAATGAATCTCTCAAAGCATTTTAGCATGTATGTATAGATTTCACTGTCCTCTCTTTCTTCACCATAGCACTGTCCTGTACTGTACTGGTGCACTGTGTGGCCCATGTTAAATAATGCTACAATCACAGCCTTTTTTGGATAGGAGTTTTCTATCTAGTTGCACACTGACTGTTGGCTCCTATAAGAAGCTCATCCACCCTCTCCAAGTTGATTTGGATTCAGAGTTTTCCTTCACATAGACTAGTCGACAACCAAGGCTATAGGACCCAGTCTAGGGGAAGAAGAGATGGCTTCATACCTTTCCCTAGCTATTTATAAATAAATGAATGTAAAAAAATTGGTTGGAATTTGACTCTCTGATTTCCCATCCTGAGCCCTTATTCATTATACCACCTACATATCCAAGCACACAACACCTGGTATTCTCAAGTGGTCACCCATATAACTACTGACCAGGCTCAGTGTTGCTTAACTTCAGTGATTGGAAGGGAACCAATGTTTCTACATGATATGGCCATAAGTGGATTTTAACTTAACAACTGTTTTTCTTATTATTCTCATGTTATTCTCCTCCTAAAAATAATTTATTCTGCATAATGATCTTTTAAAAAAAATCATTTCACACCAAGCAAGGCAATAAAGTCACTAAGATGCAAGGGGTTACTGAGTGTGAGAGAATATGAGAAAAAGAAAACATTATTAAGGAGAGAGAACAAAAACAGTAATTAAGAAGACAGAAGATAAAAATTGACACTGCATTTAAATTTTTGAAGAAAGCATAGAGCCAGAATAGAGTTCCACAAGTGAGAAGTGTAAGAGAAGAAACAGTTAGCCTAGAACTTATGGTTATATCTAGTAATTTCAACTGTAAAATGATGAGACTTGCTACCAGTCTAGTACTATACTTAAAGAGGAAAGTTCATCAGAACAATTACCATGAAACTATTTATAGAAAAAGCACATGAATTTCATTTGCATGAATTTCAACACTATGTGGTTTTTTTTTTGCTAAGCAATGCTGGTGTTGAGGGGAAGGCCTGTCACTAATATAATTTAGAATCACATAGGAAATATGAAATACCTAACACTTTGAAAATAAACCAGTCTGTTTAGTACATTAATGAATAATTTCTCTCAATTTTTGTCTAGAATTAGAGGTTTCCTTTTTCTCATGGATTTCACTTGATGAGGGCTGAAGAATAAATGAGCCAAAATGTTAACAATAGGAAATATACAAAAAAGTCATTGGAGAGCCTGAAAAATGTTTAAAATAATTTGTTTAAAAATTCAAAATATAAAATCCAACATATATATAAAGAAATATATATATATATATATATATATATATATATATATATATATATATATATATATATATATATACTAGCAGTAGAGCCCAGCGTTGCCTGGGATGTAACAGTAAGAGATAGATCAAGTATCGACCATCATAAAGACTGAAAAATAAAATTGACAAAGATTATTGTTTAAGGTTGATGGATAAAAATATGTCTTAATTAGTTTTTTTTTTTTTTTGAATTGGTCAAAGCCAAACTCAAACAAAAAATTGTTTTCAATTTCAATATGAGTCTATCGATTGAATAGAATTTTATTATAAACAATTGTCTTGTAAATGGAATTTTTAAAGCATTCTGAATGTAAAAATAAAGAAAAAAGTGTGCAAGACAATAAGAAACACTACCTGCCAAAAAGAAAGTGAAGTTTTGTTGAAATCGGTTGAAAAATGTAGGAAATCTGATCCCATATATAAAAGAACACACACACACACACTCACAAACAACCTGGGTTTTATAATAAGTATAACTCGATATGAGTTGTCCCCCTTTAATTAATGTCTCTTAATCGTGTTTTCAAATTGTTTTGTTTTTGAAAAATTGTGTTTTTCCAGTTTTTGGTGCTGTCAGAACCACCGCAAGGTAATTTTACGTAGTCCTGTGAAGTTTTGTTGAAATCGGTTGAAAAATGTAGGAAATCCGATCCAATATATATAAACGTACAGACACACACACACACACACACACACACAACCTGGGTTTTATAATAAGTAAGATATATGTATGCATGTATGTATGTGCATGTGTGTATTTGATAATTTTTGTGTTTTTATTTTGATTTTTGCGCAAGATAATAGACGTTTAGTTTCTATGTATGTATTCACATATGTTTCATCACTCTAAGCCATCAGTGGCCATTTTGAAATGATCACTGATGGTTGAAAGCACTTATAAATATATGTAGAGTCAATTTTTATATGTAACATCTATTAACTTTAGATGAAATCAAAATAAGCAAGATATAATCAAGGAAAAAATTTTTTCTCCCCCCTTATTTTTTATATATATATATATATATATATATATATATATATATATATACATGTGTACAGTTCAAAAAGTTGGAACTACCCTTACCAATTTTGCTAATTTTTTTCAATTGGCTCCAAAACTAGTTGTTTTGTAATTTAAATAAGAGAAAATTATTATACATGGTTAAAAATAAGTGGAACATCATTTTTATTAAAAATTTTAATATGACAAAAAGAAAAAAAGGCATTTTATGATTAAATTTTGCTTTTGTCAAAATATTTTCCTTCAGTCTAAATTACTGCAGCACAAATTTTTAGCAACTGATGCAAAAGCTTCTCAAAATATAAGTTTGATAATTGATTCCATTCTTTTTTCTATGACACTAAGAGCTCTTTTTCATTTTTTTTCCACTCTTTTTATCAAATTAATCAGTTGTTAATTTTGGGGTGGCTTTTCACTTTTTGAACTGTAGTGTGCATATATATATATATATATATATATATATATATATATATATATATATATATTAAGATTTTAAATATCCCAAAAATATTCAGAAAAATTATATTTTAAAAAAAAATTTTTTTTTAATTATAATGTAGGTTTTTTAAATATATATAAAGTGATTATTTCTATCACAGATATCTACCACAAACCTACAGACACCCAACAATATCTTCATTTCAATAGCCATCACTTAAAATCCATACCCTAGCATGTAGCATTTACACTATAGTGGCTGACAAACACTTCTGAAAAACATGCTTAGAAGAATTACATAAAACTCTCAAAAAACAAGGCTACCCCACACAACTAATAAACAAAGGTTTTAAACTAACAGAAAAATACTTTTAGACCAACTATGAAATCCAAAGAAATGCAACATTGAACAAACTCTAGGATATGTCACAACATACAGCAAGAACAATCCATAACTATTTACAGAAATTATAAGAAATCTAGACCTACTTAAGAAGAATGATAAAATGAAAGCTATACTAAAATGCAAACATAAATCAAAAAACCTAAATCACATATTAACCTCATCCAAATTTAGCCAACACACAATATGAGTGGGGTCACAAAAGACATAAGAAAAGATGTGGAGTTTGTGATATCATTATAGCAGGAAACTCCTGCACTTTTGAAAACCCCACAACATTCACAATAAAGAGAAACTTAAACTCTTTTTTTTTACAACACATCTAAAAATGCAACAAAGGTAAATTAAAAATTATTCTTCCTTACAAATACAAGAAATTATAACTGCACACACAGAAACACACTTCATACACACACAGTGGTTGAACACACTAGTCAGACCATGCACACCATACAAATATGTATGGAGAACGAATATATACAAGCATACTGGCAAAAACAAACATCTCTTGCATTTGTTTTTGCCAATATGTTTATATATATATATATATCTATATGGTGGATATGCTGACCAAAACTAGTCGAGGAACTTAATAAAACAAAAAAATATTAATATACAACCCTGTGTGTCTGAAAATTTTAATTTTTTAATATTTTTTATTGTTCAAACACACACACACATATATATATATATATATATATATATATATATATATATATATAACCAGGATATAATAAGAGTTGTTTGTAGATGACCGGAGAAATTGAAGTCTCTTATATCTGGGTTTGGTCTAATTATATACATTAACACAGGCTCTAATTTGGGACCAGAGAAAATCTCTTTTATATCCGGGTTTTCATTACAATTGTATATACTATTTCCTTGAAATAAAACAATATATATGTATGGAGAAGGAATATGTATCCACATACTAGTAAAAACACACACACAATACACAAAAATGGAGATAGTTTTAAAAAGATACACAGGTCATAAAAACATAAGAATAAAACCTCCTTCCTTCCTCTGACCAATCCTAATTGTTTTATTACTCTTTAAGCAGAAGAACATTTTCTCCACAAGTCTAAGAAGAATTTGGATTACTACTTCACACAAAAGACAATGGCTAAACATGAGAAAGCATAAGGAAAAAATGAATTTCTTTAATATGTGGAAATAATTATTCTTATTCTTATATTCTTATTCATTGTAACCAAAAATGAAATTACAGGATCTTTTTTTTTTAAAATATATATATATATATATATATATATATATATATATATATATATATGTGTGTGTGTATTTTAACTTCCTATTGTAGGAGAGTTATAGCACACACTTGTACTTTGTATAACATAATTTGTTGAAGTAATGTCTATACATAATGCTTAGGCTATTACTTTAACACCTGTATAGTTAGTATGAAAACTGACTCTAATACGACTGGTATTACCCAATCATCCTCAATGGAGGGATGTGACACAAGATCTTTTTTTATGTGAGACGATTCCGAATACATAGGTTCAGGTAAAAATTCCCCTTGGACCCAGCATACATGGGGCGGGTTTGTCATAATATTCAGACATATATACTGCCCATATTTCTAGCCTTTCTATCCAAATTCCTTCATATGCCCAAAGGCTGAGAGTTTAAAAGTTTCTTGTTATAAAGGCAGAGAACTGCTGACATGAATATAACTGTATTTTGCCCAATCCTCCTAACAAAACTTTATGGATGTTTTACAAGGCCGGTTTTTTTTGTTAAATGATTCTGAGCTCATAGGCTTGGGCAAAAATTCCCCTGAGACCCCATGGGTTGGATTTGTCTACCTCCCCAAAAGAGACTCTGCCTGTAGGCATAGCCTTGTCTGGGTTACCTCTGCCCAAAGGCAGAGAGTTTGACAAGACTGTTGCAAGCCTGTCAGTGAACTGCCTGACTCATGCAACTACTGATTTCACACTGTGGAACTCTTTATAATATTTGTCAAGTTCATAGAGTCACTGGTATGTGGGGAGGGGGTGTACTCTTTACTCCACAACAATATATATATATATATATATAGATATAGATAATATTAGTGGGAAATATACACATACATATGCAAAATATATAAATATATATACATAGGTGCATACACATACATGTATATTTTTTTAATAAAAAATTCAGAGAGGATAGAATCCAGGTAGAACTCAATGTCCAGGACAGAGTAAGGATATAATAAAAAAAAATTTTGTTAAGTTAAAAGTCTCCCATTAATTCCGTCTGTTACCCCCATCTCTTTAACACTAACATTCGTCCCACACTCT